CTAAACCCTAAACCCTATAGGTACTGTACATGAACCCAAGTTAAGGGCTAGGAATAACAGGGGTGCAGGTCCCTTTTCGGTTTGCATGGCTTCCTACGGGAACCGAACCCCTAACAGACGGGGAACAAGAAAGCCAACCCTGGGTCCCAACAGAGGACTAAGGATTGGGGTTTAGGGTTTGGGGTTTAGGGTTTAGGGTTTAGGGTTTAGGGCTGTGGGTTTAGGGCTTAGGGCTTAGGGTTTGGAACCCTGCTCTGGGGCTCATGCGCTTCCCTCGCTTCCGGGAAGTATGTCGGGAGCTCCTGTGCCCAGGTAGGTGGTGAAGCCGACTCTTGCTTAGGGGTTTAGGGTTTAGGGTTTAGGGCTTAGGGTTTAGGGTTTAGGTTTTAGGGTTTAGGGCTTAGGGTTTAGGGCTTAGGGTTTTAGATTTGGGGGGTAGCAGAACCACCTCCAAGGCTCCCGCGCCCCCAACAGACCCGCTGGTGGAAGTTCGATTGAGATTAAGAGTGTCGGACTCAGGGTTAAGTTTAGGGTTTAGGGTTTAGGGTTTAGGGTTTAGGGTTGAGGGTTGAGGGTTGAGGGTTGAGGGTTGAGGGTTGAGGGTTGAGGGTTGAAGGTTGAGGGTTGAGGGTTTAGTTTGAGGTTCGTGGGTGAGTTACAAACGGGGCTTATACTAAGCACCCTCATGGACCCTCAAGTGGCTACGGCTTGTGCGGCGCTTGCCTGCTACCCCCTAAGCAAAGCCCGAAACCCTAAAACCTAAACCCTAAACCCTAAACCTTAAATCCTAAACCCTAAACCCCAAACCCCAAACCTGAGATTTGTGTTTTGGGGAGTAGGGTTTAGGGTTTAGGGTTTAGCATGATACATAGGGTTGTAAGCTGTAAGGGGGAATGCTACTGGACCACAGGCCCCTTTGCTACGCAACAAAAAGTAGCAACAAAGCATCACAGACCTTGACTCCTGAACCCGAGATCCCAAGTCCCAAAGCCCATAAACGCCGCAAGCCGAAAACCCAAACCATGGCAGTCCCCAACCCGACCTTCTAAGAAATGTTCAGCATACCCCTTGGGCACAACCCCTTAAACCAATAAGAGGTATGATAACATCCTTCCTTGTATTCCCCCTTTATAGGGTACTATAGGGGTATGAGTTTGGAGTATGTTGAGTTTTTCTGTGAGACCCCTTGCGCTTGCCCTTAACTCCCTGAACCTACAACAACTCGACAAGCCCGGAATCCTCTCTGCTTCTCGCCTCTTCCTGGCGTGCTTCAACCTCGGGGCGACACTCAGTGGAGGGGCTATTTGGGCTCGTAGTGACCTCAGGAGGGAGTACCTGAACTCTCCAATGTGGTTCCTAGGGTTTTGGGTTCTAGGGGATTCTAGCCCGAAATAGGTACTACATAGGAGACTGTAGGTAGGATTGAGAACTTTGGGGTGTGGAACATACGATCGTCGAGAAATTCGGATCAATCCTGGGTCGGCAAGGGAAGTGTCTCAGCACGCACATGCAACACAACCCTAAACGCTACACCCTAACCCCTAAACCCTAAACTCTAGACCCTAAACCCTGGAGGCAACCCTACCCGAGCGCGCTGCGGAAGGACAGCGAAGAGCGTGACCCCGCCACCAACTTTGAATGCTCCTGGGGTGGTCCGCTTTGTAATACTATGACGGTTTAGGGTTTAGGGTTTTGGAGTGGGACCCTAAACCCTACACCCTAAACCCTAAACCCTAAACCCTAAGCCCTAAACCCTAAACCCTAACCCTAAACCCTAAACCCTAAACCCTAAACCCTACACTTTTCGGGCTCTAGCGGCTTAGGGCCCAAGGCCTGCGGAGTGGTACAGGAAGTGAAAGAGGGCCTCCCTACTTCGGGGGTTTAGGGTTTAGGGTTTAGGGTTTAGGGTTTAAGGTTTAAGGTACCAAGCTCCCATAAAATCACTGTCAGTGACATCCCCGTGCAGCTGGGCTTAGATCAAGGGTTTTTGGGGTTCAGGCTGCATCTACACTCGGTCGTAGTCAGACCGGTGGATAGAAAGACTACTATCTTGGGAGGGATTTATGCACTCTATAAGTAGGGAACCCTAAACCCTAAACCCTAAACCCTAAAACCCGAAACCCAAAAACCCTAAAAGCCTAAAACCCTTAACCCGAAACCTTAGGGGGTACGAGTCTTCATCCCTTGACTAAACCCCAAAGCCTAAAACCCTAAACCCCATGAGAACCGATGAAACTGGCCGGTTGAATGATGAGGGCTTTAGGGTTTCAGGGCTTGGGGACTTTGGGACTTTCGGCTCCATCACAAACTAGCTGTTCACCAAGAAATCCTGAAACGTCCACCTGAACAAAACCCAGAAAAGCTAGTTTCTTGCTGTGCCGTTAACACAAGAAGCAGCAATGTGAACCCACCCCCGCAACAGAACCCGGGGGGGGAGGGGTGGGACCTTCAACCTCAACACCGCCAGAATCCCACCCACACCCTAGACCCTAAACCCTGGCCCTAAACCCTAGGCCCTAAACCCTAGGTCCCCAAAAGCCTTCACCCTCAAAACCTTGAAACCCCCCCCCCCCCCCCTTGAAAAAATCACACCAAGGCCACCACTAGATCCCCAAAGCTTCTACTTAGAAGTAGGGTTGCAAGCAAGGTAACTATGAATATAACCTCATCGTAGTTATACTCCTACCTATAAGTACCCATGAACCTTCAAGTGTGTAGACAAGGAACCCTTATGTAAGCAACTCAAAGGCCTAAACCTGCCGGAAGCCCAAAAGCCTTGAGACCCCGGAGCGCAACAATTCCACGCCCTATGCGTCCTACTCAACCGTGTCTAAAACCTACTGAACCCTAAACCCTAAACCCTAAACCCTAAACCCTAAACCCTAAACCCTAAACCCTAAACCCTAAGCCCAAGTAAGCCCTAACCCCCACTAGCTGACTAGCTGAAACCCTGTCCGAGAAGGGCCCAGACCTGGCAGCACTCCGCTCCATCGCACGGAGGGCGCTGAAACTCCGCCTTTTCAGCGCCTGATGGGATCACTTGGGGTGTGTTTAGGTCAGGTTGGGATGTCCCCCCCTCATACGAACTAACAGTACTTCATAGGGAGTATTGTAATAGAATCCCTATTAAGGACCGTTAGATTTTTGGGGAAACGTCCCAAGGATTGGGGCTTAAGGGTTTCAAAAAAGCAACAAAAACAAAAAAAGAGAGGCTTCATTGGCACCCTCAGGCGCATTCTCCTGGATGTTGGTTTGTGGCTTCGGTAGTATGCGCAGGGCTGAACTTTAAAACCCTCAAAACCCTATAAACCCTATATTTTACGGAGGGTTTAGGGTTTAGGGTTTAGGGTTTAGGGTTTAGGGTTGGGCTCACGTATTGATTGCGGCCCCTTGTTACTTTGGCACCCAGAAAGGGGTGGCTCCCAGACTCGTTGGATCCATCACGGATCTGGTGAGAGAGGGCGAGAAAGAGAGAGAGAGAGAGAGAGAGAGAGAGAGAGCACGAGAGAGAAGGGAGAGAGAGAGAGAGAAGACAGAGGGAGAGAAAGACAACGAGACGCACATAAAGAGCACATGAATCCTTGGCGGAGGGAGGACGAGGTCCCTAGACTCTAAACCCCTAAACCCTCAACCCTAAACCCTAAACCCTAAACCCCTATGCGTACCATCCTCTTGTCTGCCCCAAGGGCTCTTAGGACTCGTGCCTTTAGGGCTTCGGCCCCAAAGACCATGCCATGTAAGGCTTCCTTTTTGTTGTCACTGCTGTCTTGGGCCTGGAAGGATGCACACGCAACCCGAATGAAGACCTGCAGGGTTAACTAAAACCCGAAACCCTAAACCCTAAACCCTAAACCCTAAACCTGGACAGCCTTGTCGCTACACGCCTCCAGCAGAAAGTCCAGCAGGAACCTGGCCATGACTTTGTTTCAGGGTTTAGGGTTCAGGGCTAGAGGCTGAGAGGGTTGGAGTTCGAAGGTTAGAGGGTTCGATAGAGTTTGAGGGTTAGAGGGTTAAAGGGCCAGAGGGTTGGAGAGTTATAGAGGGTTAGAGGGCACGCAAGCCGCCCAACAAAATTCGGATTCCAAAGCAGGGGCTGCATGATCCCTAAGGGTCTAGGTTCCTCTATCGCATATGTTTGAGCCTTCAAGGGTTCCCATGTCCCAGATGAAAATCGAAAAGGGTTTATGGTTCATACACCATAATGGGTATCAATTTGGTGGGTTCATGTGGTCCCCAAGGTAGTCCTACACCCCAAATGGGTGGTTCTGTAAGCTAAGGTCCCTTGTAGGGTCCTCATGATAAGGGTGCCGCCTTATATCTACCCTACACCCTAAACCCTAAACCCTAAAAACCCTAAACCCTAAACCCTAAAGCCTAAGCCCTAAACCCTAAACCCTAAAGCCTAAGCCCTAAACCCTAAACCCTAAACCCTAAACCCAAATCCCAAATAACTCTCGAAGAAATAAGGCAGGCAGGCGCAGAGTCTTCAAGGCGCCAGGCTTCGTCAACTTTCCCTGGTGTAGCATGCTGCAGGATCCGGGTACGCAGTTTAGGCTTTAGGGCTTAGGGTTTAGGGTTTAGGGTGTAAGTTTAGGGTTTGGGGTGTAGGGTTTCGGGTTTAGGGTGTAGGGTCGTACGGTCAAACCAACAAGTTTATGAGAAGGGAAGGCCTTCAGAAATGATAGGTACCGTGGGGGGCGGGGGGGGGGGGGGGGGGGCACCGTATATATATATATATATATATACATTTCTATACATACATATGCATATGCATAGCCGGAGACATAGAATAGACATTAGACATTAGACATTAGACATTAGACATGAGACATTAGACATTAGACATGAGACATTAGACATTTGACATTAGACATTAGACATTAGACATTAGACATTAGACAAAAACACTATACATATATACACACATACATAAACTACAGCCCCTATGAAGCTATGAACTCTAGAACACCTCAGCACGAGACTGCATTTTTGAACGGGTGCTACGGCGGCGCTGTCGTCTCTGGTGGCGTGGCGAAGGAGAGCGGCGCCTCACGCGTCGTAGGTGCCTGGCTGACTGCTTGCACTTCGAGCACCCTTCAACACTTGGGGTTAGGGTTTAGGGTTTAGGGTTTAGGGTTTAGGGTTTAGCTTGTTGCTGCTGCGCAGCGGTAGAGTCCCGAACCCTACACATCAGTGGGTTACACATCGTCGGGTGAAGTCGTGTTTTGTAGACCCACCCTCCCCCCACCCCCAATATCTATATCCATTATGTATGTATATATATATATATATATGTGTGTGTGTGTGTGTACCAGGGGGCTTAGGGGGTTCTGAGGGCTTAGGGTTTCGTATTTAGGGGTTTAACTTTAACCAATTCTTAGGAAACATTCCCTGAGCAGGTAACCGGCGACTGTTGAGGGCATAAGGTTAGGGTTTAGGGTTTAGGGTTTAGGGTTTGGGGTTTGGGGTTTGGGGTTTGGGGTTTGGGGTTTGGGGTTTGGGGTTTGGGGTTTGGGGTTTGGGGTTTGGGGTTTGGGGTTTGGGGTTTAGCGCTAAACCCTAAACCCTAAACCCTAAACCCTAAACCCTAAACCCTAAACCCTAAACCCTAAACCCTGAACCCTAGGCCTACCTGAAGGCTGCAATGTAGTTCCTTTCTGGGGTTACGTTTAGGAGGTTCCTAGGAGCCTTTTGGGGTAGGCCCGTGGGATGATATCAAGGTGAAGCCAAGTGAGGCCTGCAAAGGCTCGGTCGTCACGGCTTCCCTCACTCTCTGCAGGAATCGGAGGGTGTCGAAGGTGTCCTGTGTGTTCAAGATCTTGGGGGATTGGTTTAGGGTTTTTACTTGTAAACCCTGAACCCCAAACCCTAGCCATAAGACCCTAAACCCTAAGCCCTGCACCTTCCTGAAGGGCTTAGTGTTTAAGGTTTCGGGTGCTCTTTCGGCGTCTAGTCGCAGGGTCAAGAGAGCCCAGTACCCCTTAATTTATAGAAGATGCCTTCAGTCGGGTTTAGTGTTTAGGGTTTAGGGGTTTAGTGTGTTGAAAGGGCTTCGGAAGCAAAACCCTAACCCTAAAGCCTAAACCCTACACCCTAAACCCTAAACCCTAAACCTCTTGTCCCTCCTTAGCAGACACAACCACAGCCCTGAGTCATCGCTGTTCGCTTGAAGCTGCTGTTGAGGTCTCCAGGGTTACAACTTTAACTGGGTTTAGGGGGGTTCAGGGATTAGGGTCGGCCAGGAAGACGTCGATGACGTTTCGCTCCCGAGAAATGCGCTTACGAATGGCGCACAGCTTCTGCCCCACACGCCATAGGCGTCCCCGGAGGCTTATCCGGCCCAGGGTTTTTGAGCTCACACGGCACGGGCTCCCCTGTCCTCCACCCCCCTACCCCCACCAGTTCCCTCGTGTTCTGCAGGGCCACAGGTCACAAACAATCCAGTTTCAACCCCCAACCGACATCCTGGAGATCCCTCCAGGGCCGAGCCTCAACTTCTTTGCTTGGGGGCAACTTGTGATCGGTTTGGGGTTTAGGGTTTAGGGTTTAGGGTTCAGGGTTTAGGGTTTAGGGTTTAGCCTGTAGCAAAGCTTGCCTATTGCCCCCTCTCTCGCAGGGAGGCGCAACAGAGCGTCCAACCCCCAAGGGTCTAAACTTGCATCCCAACCTGAAGAAGCCCTCCTTGGTAGCCCAGCAACCATATTCTAATAAGGGCACCCGTATTTGGGTTGCTTATCTTGTAATAAGGGCACCCTTATTTGGGTTGCTTATCTTGTAATAAGGGCACCCTTATTTGGGTTGCTTATCTTGTAATAAGGGCACCCATATTTGGGTTGCTTATCTTGTAATAAGGGCACCCTTATTTGGGTTGCTTATCTTGTAATAAGGGCACCCTTATTTGGGTTGCTTATCTTGTAATAAGGGCACCCTTATTTGGGTTGCTTATCTTGTACTAAGGGCACCCTTATTTGGGTTGCTTCTCTTGTAAGAAGGGCACCCTTATTTGGGATGGTTATCTTATAAGAAGGGCACCCTTATTTGGGTTGGTCATCTTGTATTAAGGGCACCCTTATTTGGGATGGTTATCTTAGAAGGGGACCTTGAACCAAAAAAAGGGGTAAAGGGTACCACTGGGCTACCAAGAACCTGAAGAAGCCCTCCAAAAATTCCCCTGTCCCTGATGTGTAGGGTTTAGGGTTTAGGGTTAGGGTTTAGGGTTTAGGGTTTAGGGTTTAGGGTTTAGGGTTTAGGGTTTAGGGTTTAGGGTTTAGGGTTTAGGGTTTAGGGTTTAGGGTTTAGGGTTTAGGGTTTAGGGTTTTGGGTTTAGGGGTTTGGGTTTAGGGTTTAGGGTTTAGGGTTTAGGGTTTAGGGTTTAGGGTTTAGGGTTTAGGGTTTAGGGTTTAGGGTTTAGGGTTTAGGGTTTAGAGTCTCTCTCAGAGGAAGAGAGGCAAACTTTGGGTTCTACTTGGGGGTTCATGGGTAGGGGTCCTTGTAGCCCTACTTATCAGCACCCGTGAACTTTAAGCCCTAAGCCCTCAGCCCTAAACCCTAAACCCTAAACCCTAAACCCTAAACCCTAAACCCTAAACCATGACCCTATGCCCTCAACAGTCGCCGGTTACCTGCTCAGCCCCTAAGATGCCGCTTCCTAGCGCGGCCTTCTGGTTCGGGATGAGGCTGAATTTTTGCACTTCAGCCAGAGATTCAAGGGATTCAGAAAGTTTAGGGTTTAGGGTTTAGGGTTTAGGGTTTAGGGTTTAGGGTTTAGGGTTTAGGGTTTAGGATTTAGGGTGGACAGGATCAAGAACAGCGGATTGCAGGCGGATGGACGCTGCCCGCCTCAACTGCGTCCTCGGAGCTTGAGACCGTGCCTATGAAAACGACGTGCGCGCCGTTGCGGAGGGCATTGTACCTCCACTCTAAACCCTAAACCCTAAACCCTAAACCCTAAACCCTGAACTCGAAACCCTAGTCGAGACTCACATCCGAAGCTCGAAGTTGGGGCACAGCAGCCGCGTACAGCAGGAATCTCGCCAGGGGATTGTCCGCTTTCCTTAGGGTTTAGGGTTTTAGGGTTTTAGGGTTTTAGGGTTTAGGGTTTAGGGTTTAGGGTTTAGGGTTTAGGGTTTAGGGTTTAGGGTTTAGGGTTTTCCGAGGGAGAACTTTGACAAGACCCAAGTGAGGGCTCAGGGTTTCGGGCTTGGGAAGAAAAAAGGGTACCCCTTTTTCGGCTTCAAGGGGGTTGTATAAGGGAACTTAAACACCAAAAAGAAAAAGGGATAAGGGCCTACTCTGGGTCCCAGTAGTGGTAGAGGGTGTGGGGCTCAGGGCTGACGACTTTAGACTTTGGGGAGTTTCAGGCACTAAGCCACACTCAAACTGATCTGCGAGGGATGTGAGCCAAGTGCGAACAGCGCACGAATGATGACGTCAACCCTGTCCTGAGCCCTAAACCTTACTTACTTCTCCAATAACATAGGGGACAAAGACTAAACGTTATTATTCCTACTACATACTGAACCCGAAAAAATAAAGTATAACTATTGGCTAAGTGAGCTTAAACCCCAAAACACCCCAGTAAGAAATCTGGGATCGTCACATGACAGGCGTAGGGCCTACCTTGTTTGGTGCTGGGGAGCTGAATAGGCCCACCTTTTTGAATATTCTAATTAATTTAATCTTAGACCCGAAGCCCTAGACCCTAAACCCTAAACCCTAAACCCTAGTTAGCCGGGTTCAGGTTTAGAGCCTGGTGCGCATTCGCATGCCTCATCTCTCAGACCAGCAAGCTCCAGGGGCTCAAATATCTAGACCCTTAGCCAGTGTTTAGGGTTGAGGGTTGAGGGTTGAGGGTTGAGGGTTGAGGGTTGAGGGTTGAGGGTTACCCCCTAAAACCCTAAACCCTAAACCCTATACCCTACACCCTAACCCTAGGTTGGGACTAGCTTCTGCATGTCCAGTGCTTGCAAGACCCAGAACCCCTGAACCCCCCTCTCAACCCGGTTTAGAGCCCAAGAAGGGTGTAGGGCTAAAGTGCAGGGTCAGGGGTGTAGGGTTTAGGGGCCTAAGCCCCTAAGCTTCACCCTAAACCCTAAACCCCAAACCCTAAACCCTAAACCCCTAAACCGAGCCGCGTCCTCTGTTCTGCGGAATCAAGTACGAGAAGACCGTGGAGACACTGCTGAGGCTCATCACCTTCTGCACATGGACTATCTACTAGGGTTTAGGGTTTAGGGTTTCGGGTTTGGGGTTTGGGGTTTAGGGTTTAGGGTTTAGGGTTTAGAACCCTAAACCCTAAACCCGTCTGGGCTACCCAGACTCTCACATGCACAGGGTCTTTTTTTGAGTCCCCTTCAAGGAAGATTGTCGACCCTTCTTTCCTAGCAAAGGAGGGCTTAGGGCTAGGGTAGCTTATTATATGATGTTATACGTCTAATGACGGTGTATAGTCTAAACCCTAAACCCTAACCCCTAAACCCTAAACCCTAAACCCTAAAGGCACTAGGTTGGCCCAGCTGGATCTGGGGGGCTTTGGGTCAAAGAAGGAGGTCCCGAAGGCAGAGTTCACTGCCGCCCTAAACCCTCTCTTTCATATGTATATATGAAGAAATATAAATATACATATAAACATAATCATGAATATAAATTTTTTAATCTGAATATAAATAGAAGTGAATCATTAATATAAATAAATACTTAAATATAAATATAAATATATATATATATCGATCTATCTCAACCCTCATACGGATGCCAAAATCGGAGCCGAAACCGGACCACCCCCCCTTTCAAGGCCCGATGCGTCTTAAGGCCACCCGGATGCCCAAATCGGAGCCGAAATCAAACCCCCACCCCCTCTTTAAGGGTTTAGGGTTTAGGGTTAGCCTCTTAAGCCCCCCCACCTCCCCCCCCCCTCCCCCCCCCCCTCCCCCCTCCCCCCCCCCCCCCCCCCCCCCCCCCTCCCCCCCCGCTCCCCCCCCCCCCCCCCCGCCCCCCCCCCCCGGCCCTTCACCCACTTATCGGATTGGAGAAGCGGCTCGAGGCAAGGGTACCGGGCCTAATTTGGGTTTATGGGCTGAGTGAGCTTTTCTCCCAAAGGGTCCATGTACCCATATCGTATATACTTGGGCCTTCAAGGGGTTCCTATACAGTAGCTTTAGGGCCCGAATATGTACTATAGGGTACATGGACCCTTAGGGTCTTGACATTCTAGGATTCTCTGGGTCTGTGGGTATGCTGCCGTGTCACAACCGCGCTGCTTGACTCCTTGACTTGAGATGCTGACCCCTATAACCCTACACCCTAAAGCATTGGAACTTTAGAAACACTCACCCTAAACCCTAAACCCTAAACTCTAAACCCTAAACCCTAAACCCTAAACACTGAACCCCTAAACCCTAACTTAAAAAGAATAGGGATGCCCTGAATGCCAACGCCGCCTGCAACTGCGTCATATCCTCAGGGCTCTGTTTTGTGGGATGGAGGTTTAGGGTTTAGGGTTTAGGGTTTAGGATGCCTATGAGTAAAAAAAGGGGGTGCCTTTTTGATTTGATAAGGCTTTGGGGTGGAAGGTAAGGTAACCCTTAGAAAACGGAAATAGGGGCCCACTCTAGGTGATGAGAAAGGCGTTCTGGTCCATACTGAAAAGCTCGAAACAAATGCTAGACTCCGGAGTAACCTAGGACAAAACTGGAACCCTAAACTTTAAACCCTAAACCCTAAACCCTAAACCGTTTTGGCTTAAAGGGGCTTATATGGGGACCTCGGCCTTGAAAAAAGAGTAAAAACCTGCTCTGGGTCCAAGAATAAGACACAGAGCAAAATTGCCCCCCCCCCCCCCCCCCCCCCCACGGTTCAATGCGGTTTACACGTATCTTGGTACCCAAGAACAATAAGCTAATAAGGGTATCCCTTTTTGGGGTTGGTTACATTGACTGGGAACCTTGAACCAAAAAACAAGGTGAAGGGTACCGCTGGGCCACTAAGAAACCCTAAACCCTAAAGCCCTAGACCTCAAAACCCTAAATCCTAAACCCTAAACCCTAAACCCTAACCCTAAACCCTAAACCCTACTGAAGGCAAATCTCGGCAGGCGTAATACTCTGCCTCGGAGGGTCTATACCCTAAGGGGGCAAGCTCGCACAAAAATGTGAAAATGCCAACCAGCACTTGGGGGTTGATAGGGTGCAGGGATATAGTTTGGAAAGCCTAGCCTAAACCCTATAAACCCTCTGAACCCCTTAAACCCCCTAAACCCCCTAAACCCTAAACCCGAAACCCTAAACCCTAATACCTTAACCCCTAAACCCTAGACCCTAGACCCTAAACCCTAAACCCGCTACTCCTGGCTATTTCTTGCAGCCGAGGCCTCAGATTCGCGGAGCGGCCTCGACGGCGGCCTGGAGGTGCTCGGTAGGCGAATGAACCTTCGGTTTAGGGTTTGGGGTTTAGGGTTCAGGGTTTCAGGTTTCAGGGTTTAGGGTTTCAGAGTTTAGGGTTCAGGGTTTAGAATTAAAGTTTGGGGTTTGGGGTTTTGGGGTCTTGGGCTTTGGGTTTTGGGGTTTAGGGTTTAGGGTTCAGGGTGTAGGGTTTCGCGTTCAGGGTTTAGGGTTCAAGGTTTGCGGTATTGGGGTTTAGGAAGGCTTGGGGTTTAGGGTTCAGGGTTGAGGGTTGAGGGTTGAGGGTTTCAGGGTTGAGGGTTGAGGGTTTCTGGGTTCAGGGTTTCAGGGTTTCAGGGTTTCGGGGTTTCAGGGTTTCAGGGTTTCAGGGTTCAGGGTTTAAGGTTTGGGGTTTGGGGTTTTGGGGTTTGGGTTTTGGGATCGGAGTGGGGACAAGACGTCGGAGTAGCAGCTGTGGTTTAGGTTTAGGGTTTAGGGTTTAGGGTTTAGGCTTAGGGTTTAGGGTTTAGGGTTTAGGGTTTAGGGTTTAGGGTTTAGGGTTTAGGGTTTAGGGTTTAGGGTTTAGGGTTTAGGGTTTCTTGGAAGTAGACTCCGCAGACTGTGGTTGAGCATATGGGAAACCAGTCAGACCAGTCGCGAGGAGCGCTTCGGACAAGAAGACCCCTACACGCTAAACCCATCCTAAACGTTGGATGTTGCCAAGGAATAAACAGGGTTCCCTTTTTGGTTTTTTTGGCTTATAGGGCAACCCAAAACCTAAACAGAAAGGAATAAGGGCCTGCTCTGGGCCCCAGGGATACTTGCAAGTTGGGTTGCAAGTACCTTACATTCTGTTGCAACCATAGCTACCCTACATATAACCCTAAGTGGTCCATGTACCTAAATAGGGAGTACTTGGCCCTTAAGTACCTCCCATATAGAAACTTTGGGGCCCAAGTATTCCCTATTTAGGTGCATGGACCCGTAGGGTAACCCTACTTGGAAGTACCAAGTCCCCATGGTCAAAATTCCAAGACCCTAAACCCTAAACCCTAAACCCTAAACCCTAAACCCTAAACCCTAAACCCTGAACCCTGAACCCTGAACCCCTAAACTCAAACTCCAAGATGCTGAAGCACTGCACGCTTCAGCTCCCTGTCCACGCCCTCGAAAACATCCACGCAGAATGTGAACCTTGCCCCCGGGCTTAGACTTGGCAGGGTTTAGGGTTTAGGGTTTAGGGTTTAGGGTTTAGGGTTTAGGGTTTAGGGTTTCGGGTTTAGGGTTTAGGGCCCAGAAACCATATTGTTTACAGGGGAACCTTGAATCAAGAAAAGGGAAAAGGGTACCACTGGGCTACCAAGTACACGGCTTCTTTTGGGTCCATTGGGCTTGTATGATTCACGGCTTAGGGTTAGGGCTTGGGTCTGCAGGGCTTGTAGCGTTTCGGGTTCAGGGGGAACAGGCGTATAGGGCTCGCAGAATTTGGGGTGAGTTTTGTTTCGGGTTTGTGGGCTTCGAGGGCGTATCGGAGGACCTGATGGGGTTTAGGGTTTAGGGTTTAACCTACCCTTCTGCAGGTATTGTTGATTCTGAGCCCCCCCCCCCCCCCCCCCCCCGTGGGATTCTTCGGACATTCAATGAAAAAGAGCAGGTCGTGCCACCCTAAACCCTAAACCCTAAATCCTAAATCCTAAACCCTAAACCCTAAACCCTAAATGTCCCACCAACCCTCTTGCACTCTACACAGGGATTGCGGAATTGGGTACCTTATAGCCTCTGTTATAGCGTTTGGGGCACTGTATACCCTCGCTGGTTCCTTACTCAAAACCATTGAGCAACTAGAGCCCTAAACTCTGGACATGGATTGTGCGCTGGAGGTGCTTCGTATGTAAGGCTGGGGGTGTGTTGTCGTTTGGGGATCGGGAGGTGGGTGTAGGGTTGCGGGTGTTCGCGTGCTTCGACGAAAAGAGCATGAAAAGCATGAAACGGGGCTGCTCTATGACATACTGGTGCTGAAGGGGGAGTTGGGGAGTGAACTATTTCTATAGGGATATACAATTATCTATCTTTCTATATATATGTGTATATATATATACACACATACATGTGTATATATATATATGTATACATATAGATATACATATAAATAAATAAATAAATGTGTACATATATATATATATATGTGCGATGTGGTATCTTGGGGACTCAAGGATGTGCAGGGCTGCGGGGATCCATCCCCCTTCGTGGCCTTCGTGGCCTTAGGCACCAGTGACTGGAGGTGCTGAGGGTTTAGGGTTTAGGGTTTAGGGTTTAGGGTTTAGGGTTTAGGGTGAGCCTCAACTTCTTAAGTCTTAAGCCCACTGAGACCCAGAGTTTCAGGATTTGTGACAAGGGGAGAAGAAAGCCCTAAGTGCTGCCATGAAAAGTCAAACCCAAACCCCCCCCCCCCCCCCCCCCTCGAGCTGCAGCCTGAGGGCAGCAAAGTACTTCGGGACTGGCCACCAGCTGGCCGTCCTCCGGCGCAAGTCGGGGGTTTAGATTTTAGATCTTGGGGTAATTGCATGGTCCCTGAGTATGGGCCCTTGAAAGAGGGCACCCCTTATGCACCCCTTATTCTACCCTATCCAAGTTAAGGGCCCATACATTAGAACCCTAAGATGGGGACAGTGCAACTTTTGTGCACCTTTATGCCTAAAACGGTGGAGACCGTCCAGCGTTTTTTGCATGACAGGAACCAGTTAGTTCAATGTATCTAATTCGTCCTAACAGACTAAATGATCCCCGAAACCCAAAACCCTAAACCCTAAACCCCAATTAAACTAACTTGACTACCTCAGTCATGCTTGAAGGGCCGCAACTCAGCTAACTTGTATCTTACTTCATGGAATTCTCATGTGGTTCAAGGTTTAGTAATCTAGAATATTTAATGAACTCTTCAGGAAATGAGTTACACAAATGAGAATTCTTTATGAAATGCGTTGGTGAAACGTTGTACTGCAGACTATGAGTTTAGATTACATATTTACGCAACGCTGGAATGAAATGATTAGATCAGGTATCCCGACTTTTGGCCAAGCTTTACACGGGCTTTTGGCCAAGCTTTAAACGCTTGCAGCAGACCACTCTTTCCTGTGTGTATTCTGGCACCTACGGTGCTCCTCGAAATCCATATGAAACACAGCGGCTAGCGCGTTCGGCCCTGAACCAATCCCTAATGAAAGGATCCACGAACTTAGTGAGTAGGTTATCTGTCGGTTTAGTGTTCAGGGTTTAGGACTCAGGGTTTAGGGGGGGTTAGGCAAAACCCCCCGAGCCATGGGCCCACGCGAACCCGGCCCCTCAGAGGGTTATGCGAAGCTGTCTTGCAATTGAGCGCTGTCACCCGCATGTCCCCAGGCCACCACAGAGCCATCACCAAGGATTGCGGCGAAAGTTCGAGAAGAAGCTTGGATCTGCTGCACGTCTCGCAGCTGATCCTGCACCCGCCTGCTGTCGCCTCCATGATCGGCAGTACCCCAGGTGACGACAGATCCATCGCCAAGGATTGCAGCAAATGCTCGAGAAGAAGCTTGGATCATCCGCACAGTCTTCAGCTGCTCTTGTACCGCGCTGCTGTCACCGCCAAAGTCGGCATTACCCCAGGTGACAACAGATCCATCACCCAGGATTGCAGCAAATGCACCAAGAGAAGCTTGGATCTGCTGCACATCTCGCAGCTGATCCTGTGCCCAACTGCAGTCGCCACCATAGTCAGCATGACCCCAGGTGACGACAGATCCATCACCAAGGATTGCAGCAAATGCCCGAGAAGAAGCTTGGATCTGCTGCACATCTTGCAGCTGATCCTGCACCCAACTGCAGTCGCCACCAAAGTCAGCATAACCCCAGCTGACCACCGATCCATCGCCCAGGATTGCAGCGAATGCATAATCAGAAGCTCGGATCTGCTGCACATCCCGCAGCTGATCCTGTACCCAGCTGCAGTCCCCACCATAGTCAGCATTGCCCCAGGTGACGACAGATCCATCACCAAGGATTGCAGCAAATGCCCGAGAGGAAGCTTGGATTTGCTGCACATCTTGCAGCTGATCCTGTACCCAACTGCGGTCGCCACCGTAGTGATGACTACCCCAGGTGACCACACATCCATCGTCCAGGATTGCAGCAAATGCACCAACAGAAGCTTGAATCTGTTGCACATTCTTCAGCTGCTGCTGTACCGCACTGCAGTCGCCACCAAAGTCAGCATAACCCCAGCTGACCACCGATCCATCGGCCAGGATTGCAGCAAATGCACGACCAGAAGCTCGGATCTGTTGCACATTCTTCAGCTGGCCCTGTACCGCACTGCAGTCGCCACCAAAATCGGGAGCTCCCCAGGCGACAACAGACCTATCACCCAGGAGTGCAGCGAAGGCGAGACCAGGCAACATACCGCCTTGCCTCGTGGCTTTAACTTGGACTTGGTTCACATGTAGGGTGAGCACGTCTCCAGTCTTCAACTTCGCTTCGCTGATCGTTTTCGCTCCGTCCAGGACCTCTCCAGAAGAATTCAGCAGCCTCCCTCTACCGGCGACCAGAGCACTCTCGGCACGTTGCTTCAATGACTCAACAGGTGCATCGGCCTCCACTTCCACAGATGCCCTCTTGCCACTCAGAAGATGCACATCCACGGAAATCGACATGATGTTTCGTGGAGTCGTCGCTGCGCGCAACAACCAAGGCTCCAGCTTGCTGGGTGAATCTACACAACGCATACATATATATATATATATGTATATATATACATGTATATATATATATATATACATATATACATATATATATATATATATAATATGTATACATAATATATATATATATATATATATATATAGTTGAGGGTTTAAAAGTTCAGTGTTTTTGCCAAGTTCAACTAACCCGCCGGATCTGCCATTGCAACAGCATACTTCACATCGATCTGGAGTTAGTTGGGGGCTACAGTTGCGGCAACTAGTAATAAGGAGCACCAGATCCCCGTCAGAAGTCTATTAATAATTAGTGCAGTGCTTACGTGCGTGAGATGACACGAGAGAGCGAGACCTACGTTCCCAGTTGGTGGGCTTGGTACCCTTACAACAGGGAACTGAGGTTAAAAAGGGTTACGAATACTATCAGTCTCTATCAGTCCTTAATAAGGATTATTATTTGGGGGGGGGGGGTACGACTATGCCGATTAATGTGGGACCCTCTTTAATGTGTAGCCCCCCCCCCCCCCCCCCCCCCCCCTGAACAGTCGAGGCTGGATTTGTCCCTGTTTAGACGCTCCCGGGGGGTTTATATGATTTTAATAGGGAGGAGTTTAGATAAGTTTAAAACGGGCAGCGATGCCCGGCTCTCTTTTTTAAAGGCGCACCACGGGGAACTTTCTTACGGCGCCCGGACGATTTGACTTTAAAGAGGATCCCCCAAACAGTCAGGGGATCCAGAATAATTCGGCCAATTAGACTTTAAAGAGGCCCCCCCCCTACTAAACAGGGTCCAACATGAAGGACTGACAGTATAAAGGACACTTTACAACAGGGAACTGAGGTTAAAGAGGGTTACGAATACTAGGGTTTGGGCCTCTAGAGCTCCATGCAACGCCCTGCCATCCCTTAACGGCACCCCAAGGGAAGTTTAAACAGAGCTTGCTTTTTTTGTGGGCGGGGGGGGGGGGGGGGGGGGGGGAGGGGTCAGGGTTTATCGTGGGGTTTAGGGTTTAGGGTTTAGGGTTTAGGGTTTAGGGTTTAGGGTGAGCTCTTGGGGCTTGGGCCTGTGCATATCAGCTTTCAGGGCCATGGGCATAATAGGCTCTCTGCAGGGCTCAAACTAAGCCCTGAAGCCTACACCCTAAACCCTAAACCCTACTGCACCCTAAACCCTAAAGCCTAAAGCCTAAACCCTAAACCCTAAACCCTAAACCCTGAACCCTAAACCCTAAACCCTAAACCCTACACCCCAAACCCTGAACCCTGAACCCTGAACCCTACCTGTAGACTCCGATGTAGTTCCTTCTGGGTTCGCTATAGGAGCTTCTAGTATACCTGCCCCGAAAAGGTGCTACGTAGGAGCCTTTAGGTAAACACTAGCCTGAACCCTGAACCCCTGACCCCCGAAACCCTGCACTCTAAACACAAAAAGCCTTAAAACCCTGAACCCCCCAAAAACTCTAAACCCTAAACCCTAAACCCTAAACCCTAAACCCTAAACCCTAAACCCTAAACCCTAAACCCTAAACCCTAAACCCTAAGGGGCTCCAGTCGCGAGCAGCTCTCGCTGTCTCAGGCCATGAGCCAGGAACGCGCGCATCCTCGCAGAACGGCCAAGTCAAAGGGCTTTCGGAGCCTTCGACCCTGTAGGGTTTAGGGTTTAGGGTTTAGGGTTTAGGGTTTAGGGTCTAGGGTAGCCTTCGACCCTAAACCCACGTATGGCTACACTGGTGCCCAAAGACCTTTTGGGTTTAGGGTTGCGGGTTTAGGGTTTAGGGTATTTGGTTTGGTTTCGGGGTAGGATAGTAGTAACCCTAAACCCTGAACCCTAAACCCTAAACCCTCAACACCAGGATAAATGGAAATTGTTTGTGTGTCAATTTGAATTTACAATTTCGACCCCATCTACCCAACCCCCCCACCCCCCACCCAAAAAAACACCCGCCCAAACCCTCCGACATCAGGCACTTCGGGGGGCGCTTAGGGCTTAGGTCCAAGACGAAACCCCAACCCCCCCTCCCCCAGTCAACCCCACTCTCCCCCACAACCCCTCTCCACCCCCCCCCCCCCCCCCCCCCCCCCCCCCCCCCCCCCCCCCCCCCCCCCCCCCCCCCCCCCCCCCCCCCCCGCCCCCTTCGCTCCCCTAAGCCTTCCTGGAAAGCCATTGCAATGTTATTCAAAAACAAAAGAAAAAACCGGTCAAAACCCGGTCAAAACCCGCACAAAACCCCGTCAAAACCCCGGACACAAACCCTAAACCCTAAACCAATTTCTATAAACGGACAAACGGTAGGCCCCCCTTTCCAGGCAGCCAAAAGGCTCGTCCGCCGTGCGGCAGCCACGCCGGGGAACCTCAGCACGGATTTGGGGTTTAGGGTTTAGGGTTTAGGGTTTAGGGTTTAGGGTTTAGGGTTTAGGGTTTAGGGTCTTGGGGTTTAGGGTTTAGGGTTCAGGGCCTGCTTCTGGAAGGCACGTAAATGGTCAACCTAAACCTCAAACTTAAAACCTTCACAGGCCTAAATCCCTGCTGGAAGCCTGCAGGGTTTAGGGTTTCGGGTTTCGGGTTTAGGGTTGGCTTGTACCTCCGCAGCCTGTAGTCCGGTGTGCCAACCCTAAGCTGGTTCTCGAAAGTAGCGACCCCATGTTGTGTAGCCTGCGTTTCGCAGCCTTTCTTGATGGGTACAGATATCTGGCTCAACCTAAACCCTAAACCCCAAACCCCAAACCCTAAACCCCAAACCCTAAACCCTACACTCTAAACCCAAAACGGGAAAATGATGTAGAAGCTGTTGAAGTGCAGGTCACGGCGCTCCCTCCACGTGGGTCTCCCCACCCGTCTGGAAGCGCGTGCGATGCCCCGACTCGATCTTCTCCTGCGGGTTTAGGGTTTAGGGTGTAGGGTTTAGGGTTTAGGGTTACGGGCCAAGTTTCGGCTTAAGTTTACTCTGCAAACATATGCTGTGCCTAAACAAATAACCCTGAACCCGTGTAAACCCGGCCCTAAACCCTGTAAGCAGACCCTAAGATTAAACAAGCAAAAAAACAAATTAGGGTTTAGGGTTTTGGGGTTTAGGCTTTAGGGTTTAGCTGACCCCAATCCTTGTGCCGGCCCCAGCCATCCTGGCATGTAGAACTTAGAGGGCATTGGGATTCATGTAGGAGAAATTCCCAAACAGTGTGTCAACAATAAAGGGTTCCAACGTGTAGACAAAAAAGTGGGTAGGTCGATGTTGCCGCAAACCCTAAACCCTAAACCCTAACCCCTAAGCCTTAAACCCAAAACCCAAAACCCAAAACCCCAAATCCAAACTTTCCTCGCCTTTGGACCACTGGCATAACATAGAACTCGTGGGAATATGAAGGGAATGCAAATTCTACTATATTCTTGGGGTTCCCATCAAAGTCCAATATTAAAGAAAACTGCAGAAAGATATTCACAACAGACAGAGGCACCAAGCTGGAGACCAAGACGCGGCCCGCCCCCGAATCCAAGCAAAAAGCAACCGCGGTTCAGGGTTTAGGGTTTAGGGTTTAGGGGTTAGGGTTTAGGGTTTCGGGTTTAGGGTTTCGATCAAGGACAGAGATTGGGGTCTAGGGTTTCGGGCTTACTCGGTTGGGCCAGCTGCGTTGGGACGGAGCGCGAACCACAACACATGCGCGGTGGTGCGTGGAGGTTCATGATGGGCTACTTAGAAGCAAAAGTAGCCTTACCCTAAGGGTCCATGTACCTAAATAGGGAGTATTTGGGCCTTAAAGTACCTCCTATATAGGGACTTTGGGGCCCCATTTAGGTACATGGACCCTTAGGGTTAGCTAGTTTATAGCCATCGTTGCCCTACTTGCACCCCTGCTTGTTAGTCTCGTTTAGGGTTTAGGGTCTTTCGGGCGTCCGCGGCCTGCCACAGCCTACAAGTAGCTCTCTTAAGGGTAGTAGACCGTGATTACTTGGTTCCTAATTGGAAAGCTAAACCCTAAACTCTAAACCCTAAACCCTAAACCCTAAACCCTAAACCCTAAACCCTAAACCCTAGACCCTAAACCCTAAACCCTAAACCCTAAACAGAGCTGCATTGTCTTTGGGCAGCTACAGGACTCAGGGTGTGAACTCTCGAAGGTTTGTGGTCCTCCGTGGCGAGGAGGTCGAACACTAGTTCGTTGATCACCTGTCTTCGGTTTTTTTTCGGGTTTAGGGTTTAGGGTTTAGGGTTTAGGGTTTCGGGTTTAGGCTTCGGGTTTAAGGTTGCGGTTTTGGGGACCCTAAACCCTAACCCTAGCGGCCCTAGCGCTCAATACCGTATTGGCCCTCAATACTGGCAGTGCAAGCTTGTAGGGCTTAAATGGTTTATCAAACCCGGAACCCTAAACCCCTCTTGGTTTAGGGTTTATCAAACCCTAAACCCTAAACCCTAAACCCTCCCTCACATCCCGAAGCCCAAATTGCGGTTTAGGGTTTCGGCTGAGGGCTCAGGGTTGAAAGCTTAGGGTTTACCATAGGTAACACTAGATTTACAGGGGTCTTCCGTTGTGGTATATGAGCAATAGCGCAGGATATCATGGATGTAAGTCTGCAAGTATATTTAGCAAAGTCAAGCGGTGGCCTTCGTTGTAGGCCCCTAAGACCTTCACCCCTTATCACCCTAGTCCAAGCCTTTGATCTTATCGTACCTACATGGTCCCTTAGTATGGGCCTTCGTACGGGGACCCCCTTATGTACCCTATGCAACACAAGGGCCCATACTTCAGGACCCTTGAAAGGAGGCAAGGGACCATATTCGAGGACCATATAGCTTCCCTTAGATTAGACCCCCCACCCTGAAACCCTAAACCCTAAACCCTAAACCCTAAACCCTAAACCCTAAACCCTAAACCCTAACCCTAAACCCTAAACCCATTTGGGTTTAGGGGTTTAGAGACGCCGGCAGCCTCGAAGAATTCCACACTGATCGCCATGTGCTCGAGTCGCCCGTCAAGCTGCTCCTTGACATAGGGTTTAGGGTTTAGGGTTTAGGGTTTAGGGTTTAGGGTTTAGGGTTTAGGGTTTAGGGTTTAGGCACTGCATGACATAGGGGTGGAGTGTCGGGTTCAAAAGGGTTGTAGGGTTTAGGGTACAGGGTATAACCCTACACCATAGAACCTCAACCCTAAACCCAAAGCTGGTTCAGGGGTGTGTGGGGTACAGGGCTTGCACGCTTGAGGGTTTGTGGAGGTGAGGATTTGGGGTTCTAGGGTCCCTGAACCCTAAACCCTAAACCCCAAACCCTAAACCCTACTTGAAGGGCCTCCCTGTCATCGTGAGTCTTGAGTGTATTTGCGTCTCTTTGGGGCAGAGGTCGCGTGGCCTCTCGGATGTCAGTCGGCTTGTTGGTGAACGCGCGCGTAGGGTTTAGGGTTTAGGGTTTAGGGTTTAGGGTTTAGGGTTTAGGGTTTAGGGTTTAGGGTTTAGGGTTTAGGGTTTAGGGTTTAGGGTTTAGGGTTTAGGGTTTAGGGTTTCAAGGTGGGGCCCCCTAGTTACAAGTACAGTTATAAGAGCCCTAAATTGGGGTATAAGGATCCTCAACTAGGTTATAAGTCCCTTAACTACAGTTCGTATAGTAAGGGAGCCCCTCCTTGTAGGGATTCAGGGTTCAGGTACCGGGCCGTCATTGCCGTGCTCGGGCTCTTCAGTCCTGTGCTTACGTAGGCACTTTCCTGTGTTATGGCCCATTTGCGCGCTGTACTAGGAAGCTCGCGCAGGAACCCTAATGCCCCTAAGGGTCCATGTACCTGAATGGGGAATACTTGGGCCCCAAATTCCCTATACAGGAGGTACTTGAAGGCCCAAATACTTCCCTATTTAGGTACATGGACCCTTAGGGAATGTAAACTCCTCCAGCGTGTTGAAGGTCTGCTGGAGGAGGCCATCAGGAGCAAACAGCGTGTGGCTCTTGCCGCTACCTTTCGGACAGCACTCCACTAGGATGGCCCTGTCTGAAATCCCTGTCAAACACATTCGGATTTAGGGTTTAGGGTGTAGGGTTTAGGGTTTAGGGTTTGGGGTTTAGGGTTTAGGGTTTAGGGTTTAGGGTTTAGGGTTGAGGGTTTAGGGTTTAGGGTTTAGGGTTGAGGGTTTAGGGTTTGGGGACCTTTTAAGATGTCCCAAAAACCTACCGAGTCCAACATTCAGGCTCGTGATGGCGCTATGCTCAGGGCCTGTAGAGTGATTCAGGCCCGATCAATCCTAGGTCGCCAGGCGGTGCACAGTTACAAGCCCCTACAATCCTAGGTCGCCAGGCGGTGCACAGTTACAAGCCCCTAAACCCTACAAACCCTAAACCTTAGACCCTAAACCCTAAACATCACAGCAGATGCTTAGCCAATCAGGCTGTGCACGCTCCCTGTGGATGAAATGTGTACTAGTGCAGCTACCTGGTGCAACGGCATATGAACCCTCGCGCCATGCCTCGCCTCTCATTCTCAAGTATGAGGCCTCCCTAAGCCCTAAACCCTAAACCCTAAACCCTAGACTCTAAACCCTAAACCCTAAACCCTAAACCCTAAACCCTAAACCCTAAACCCTAAACCCTAAACCCTAAACCCTAAACCCTAAACCCTAAACCCTAAACCCTACCCACTTAAGGGGCAGTTAAGAGGCACACACACACACACATACAGGCACCTTCTCCCTCAGCTCTTCAAAGTCTGTACTGTCAGAGGCAAACGACAATCCTCTACACCCCCTAAGGGTCCATGTACCTAAATGGGGAATACTTGGGCCCCAAAGTCCCTATTTAGGAGGTACTTTAAGGCCCAAATACTCCCTATGTAGGTACATGGACCCTCAGGGACCCTTGACCTTATACCTTATAATCATGTCCCTTTACACCCCGGACCCTAGAAGAAACATCAAAGCAACCTAGGCATTGCAAGGCGCTGCATGTTAGTTCTAAGATGAGTACGTTCACGGTAGAATGATAGTTTGCCTTGAAAAAAACTTCGAACTCCCCGCGACCCTAAATTACCCTCACCTTAAACCCCAAAACCGTAAACCCTGAACCCTGAACTCTAAACCCTAAACCCTAAACCCTAAACCCTAAACCCTAAACCCTAAACCCTAAACCCTAAACCCTTTAAAGCAAAGCTGCTGGCGGCTCCACTAAATTACCCTCACCTTAAACCCCAAAACCGTAAACCCTGAACCCTGAACTCTAAACCCTAAACCCTAAACCCTAAACCCTAAACCCTAAACCCTAAACCCTTTAAAGCAAAGCTGCTGGCGGCTCCACGCAGCAGCACCGCCCCACTGCGGCCGGCCAGAGTGCCCAAGACCAGGTCGGACACAGCGTCGTGGAAGATGTCCTCTGGAGGGCTTTCTGGGGTTAGGGTTTAGGGTTTAGGGTTTAGGGTTTAGGGTTTAGGGTTTAGGGTTTAGGGTTTAGGGTTTAGGGTTTAGAGTTTAGTGGAAGATGGCCTCTGAAAGGCTATAAGGGTACCAGGGTTTAAGGTTTGGGGTTATTAGGGTTTTAGGGTTTAGGGTATAGTATGGGGTTTAGGACACGGCGTCGTGTGGAAGATGGCCCCTGGAGGGCTTTCTGGGGTTTAGGGTTTAGGGTTTGGGGTTTGGGGTTTAGGCTTATTTAGGGGTTGGGGTTGAGGGTTTGGGGTTTAGGGGATTTCTCCCTCCTGGCTCCGCAATTTTTCCCGAAATCCCTGTAGTGTTCCAAGCGCAGGGTTCAGCTAGTACACCTGTTAAAGAAAGAGATATGCCTTCCGCTGGCCGGTTTCGGGTTTGAGGCTCGAGGCTTCGGATTTAGGGTTCTGGGCGTCGGATGGCCTTACAAGCCCCTGGCCTAAAAAGTTCAAAGGGTTTAGGGATAGGGTTTAGGGTTTAGGGTTAAAGGGGCCCACCTAGGACCTGCGGGCCCAAAGCCGAAACACTGCGTGAATCCTTCAGGGGTGGAGCGCCGAGGGCTCTTACGACCCGCCCGCATGTTGAAATTCACATGCCCCTATAAACCCCTACGTATGAACCCTACAAACCCTATCTACCTTACAACCTTTCCAAACCCAATATAAACTCTGCAAGCCCTATACACCCTACAAACTCTGAGAAAAAGAACCAAGCCTATAAACCCCGTAACCCTACAGTAACCTTAAAGCCGCACAAGCCTACTGTATATACGTCGCTACGAAGAGTTTATAGGGAGCCTGCATCTGAGGGCTACTTGAAGGTTCATAAAAGGGCTACGGTACTTATAAGTTGGCGTGTAAGTGCCCAGACATAAGGCTATCACCAGAATATATCCTACTTCCCTAAACCCTAAACCCTAAACCCTAACCCCTAAACCCTACATAAAGCCCAAACCCTGCTCAGAAGTACCCGTGATCCGGGAAGCACAGTTTTGAGGATCGAAGGGGGGCTACTCAGCTGCCCTTTCCAAGGTGAGTGAAGAAGTCAAGCGCTTCGGGTAAATAAGGGGATCTGGGTTGAGGAGATAGCTTTAGATTACGCGTAGACCTGTGCATAAACCTGCGGAAACCTCAGCCCTACGCCCACGAACCTCACACGAAGAGGATCCCGAAACGCAAAAGCCCGCAAAATAGGCAACACCCTGAACCATAAACCCAAAAGAGCGACACTTCCAAGCGGGGAGTTCCCCAGCTAAACATCATCTGTAAGAGGTTAAGGTGTACGGCGAGGGTTTCGTGAGAGTACTGAAGACTTCCTGTAAACCCATCCCCCCCTGAACCCTGAACACTTAAACCCAAAACCTAACCCATGCCCCCCAGTACCTCGGTTGGCGTGGACTCGTCATAGACCTTCGTGGCTTCCTTAATCCCTGAACTAAACCCTGAACCCTGAACCCTGAACCCTAAACCCTAAACCCTATACCCTAAACCCTAAACCCGAGCCGGCAGCCCAAACGTCCCAAACCCGCGGCCTTTCAACCGCTAAGGTCTAGGGTCTAGGGTTTAGAGTTCACGGTTTCGGGTGCCCTCGAAACCCAACCCTAAACCCCAAAAAACTTTGCAAATGCACTACAACCTGCGCCTCCGCATGAACGCGTACACCCTGAACCCAGCACCCGAAACCCTGAATCCTAAACCTGAAACCCCAAACCCACACCCTAAACCCACAACCCTTCAGTTCCTCAAAAACCCTTGACCCTCAGAACCGTAGCAGGAAACTGCCGGAAATGTTTTGGGGCTCCGGGTTGAGAGCTCAGCATCAATATGTGGATTGTGTGTAAACCCTAAACCCTATGGATCCATTCTTATTCTTCTTTTGCTGTATGAGGCTTAGGGTTGCAACTTTACGTTTAGGGCTTCCTCAGTGTCTACCCAATTCAACCATACTCCCCTTAGAACCTTAATAGAAATAATATGTTTAATATCCTCTTGGGATTTATATAAACAAAAATAAAGGTTTTGTGTAAAACAAAAATTAGGAGACAAAAAAAAACAATCCCCAAGGGGGATATAGTCAAGGCTCCAGCTTGAAGAACATAGTGCTTAAGACTTGGGGGGCCTTCGGGAAACCGAAGCTTCAGCCCCAACTCGCCCCACCCCCCCCACCCCACCCCCTCGCCCCCCCAAAGAAAAAAAAACACAAGCCCAAAACCCTAAACCCCCAACCCTAAACAGCAAAAAAACTCGATCCGAGACTGCGAGAGGGTGCTCTGAGGGAAAGCCGCGCGGCGAGGTCCAGGGAGACCTTTGTACTCCGCCTGCCGGGCGACAAGCTCGATCGATGTGGGTTTTATGGGGATTTCAGGGTTTATGGGGCTAGGATCTATATAGGGTTATCGGGTTGGGGGTTATAGGGTGCAAAGGGGCTTGTAGGGTTGGGAGGGTTACGAGGGTTTAGCGGGTTTATAGGGTTTCTAGGGTTTATAGGGTTTGTAGCTAGGGTCTGTAAGGTTCTCAGGGTTCATAGTGCTTGTAGGGTTGAGAGGTTTAGAGGGTTTAGAGGG